CCACACTCCCTACTAGCCCCACCACCCCTGGCACTTTTCCCTGCAACCGCAGGAAGTGCTACACCTGCCCTGACACCTCTTCCCTCATTCCCATCCCAGGCCCCAAGAAAACCTTCCACATTAAACAGATGTTCACCTGCACATCTGCTAATGTGGTGTATTGTATCCACTGTTCCCGTTGTGGCCTCCTCTACATCGGGGAAACCAAGCAGAGGCTTGGAGACCGCTTTGTCGAACACCTACGCTCGCATCATGACAAATGACTGCACCTCCCAGTCGCAAACCACTTCAACTCCCCCTCCCACTCCTTGGACGGTATGTCCATCCCAGGCCTCCTCCAGTGCCACAACGATGCCACCCGAAGGCTGCAGGAACAGCACCTCCTATTTCGCTTGGGAACCCTGCAGCCCAATGGTCTCAATGTGGACTTCACAAGCTTCAAAATCTCCCCACCCCCAACCTCATCCCAAAACCAGCCCAGCTCGTCCCCGCCTCCTTGACCTGTCCATCTTTTCTCCCACCGATCCGCTCCTCCCACCTCGCTGACCAACCCCCACCCTCACTTCCTGCCTACTAGCCTCATCCCCACCTCCTTGAACTGTCCATCTCCACCTATCTGGTCCTTTATCCACCTTCCAACATTGTCTCCTCACCTCTCTCTATTTATTTCAGAGTCCCCTTCCCCACCCCCATTTCTGAAATAGGGTCCAGTCCCAATACGTCAGCTTTTCTGCTCCTCTGATGCTGCCTGGACTGCTGTGTTCATCCAGCTCTACACCTTGTTACCCCCTCAAAGAAAGACATCACGTTGTTACATAGTTTCAACAACCACGTGTGACAAGTAGTGTTACTGACAAGTAGCAAATCACTACTGAGCGCATACAGACACATACACAAAGGTGCTGACTGATTCAGACTGAGTCCCAAATATGCTCATTGTATCAACACATAAGATACAAAGACTAACAACAATGTATACCCATACACACTACAGGTAACAGAAGCAAATATATATAAAATGTTTGTGG